CAGAGTCGTGGCCTGTCCGAGATACATTATGAAGCGTTGGATGCAGGAAGTTTATGGGAGTGCAGAGAGCTTCGGTTGAGGCTACTCCCAGTCCTCTTTGGGATGTTTCAAGTTCCCTGGCCGCACAAGACCCGGCTTGAATGGTAAAACTGGCAAGACCTGCTTAGCAAGGTGGCAGACATGCAATCTGTGCGCCAGCTTTGTTGCAGAACCTCGCGCCGTGAGGCACTGTCTGCCACATTGCACTGAACATTGTCATTCGTCGATTGCAGTTCACGTATGTCGTGTTCGGCTGCCCAGTTCATGGTGGCATGCCTGCCAGGATTGGGAAGCTTATTTGCTCCAGGATGAAATGGACAGGCCAGCTTTGCACCGCCAGGTTTGGCACGGAATGCAGCTCCTATGTCCTATGTCTATTGATTCAGGCAAGCCGTTGTTCGTGGACTTTTTGCTTTGGCATTTCCTTTGCGATTTCCAAGCCTCGCCGATGAGATGACATCCGCTTGCTCTCGCTTCCTGGCAATTTGGAGCAGCATTGTTTATGTTCTGCTTAGCAGGCGGTGGGCTGAACAACGTTTGTGTCAGACTAGGTTCTGTACTTCCGCATGAGCCCACGTGCCGCAAGGTCTGTCTTGGCTGATTGCCAAAGCCAATATCTTTGTTGTTCGCAATCCTGCTTTGGTGCTTGGGCTGGTCCAAAGTTTGCTGAGCCAAGCGCTTGGAGGAGAAGCTTTGGACCAGAAAGCGGCTCTGTACGTTCTGGCTCGCTTGGCCAGGCAATGCGACGGTTTGACGTCTGCTGTTGCAGAGGGCCTGATTGAGTTCTTGGATATCGGCATGCGAGATGCGGAAAGCCAGGTGATGTTGATGGCAGTAGTTGACGCATGCTGGAAACAGCTTGGCGAGCTGGACGCGAGGTGGTTTGACAAGTTTGCCAGCTATGCCACACAGGCACCGCGGCCGATCCGATTGGCAATTTTCCGCAAGCTGCGTGCAAAGGCGCAGGCAGCAGAGCCAAGAAGATACAGGACAGCAGTTCCTGCTCTCCAAGAAGTTCAAGACGTTGAGGCGCAAGAGCTATTGTCCCTTCTCCAGACCGAAAGACCCCTTTTGTAACTTTCTGGCGAGACGAGAACCTGACGGCTTTCCTTTTTCCTGGGCGGGAGCGTGCAGCTGCAGTTGGCGGAGATGGTCCTGTGCTGCGTGGGAGCATGTTGGCGAGCTAGTCGACCTACTTGTGTCACTGCGAAAGATCGGCTGAGGCGGCACTTGCTCCTTAGAGGCGGTTCACCGCAGAAAAATTGCCTGCCAGTTAAGTGCTGGAAAAGGAAGCATGAACCCCTAGGCCTAACGGAATTTTACGGCCAAGGCCTTACTGGCACAACCACTGGAGCATGTCCTTGCACGACCTCTCCGGCACCTTGGACAAGGTGGGCTCCTCAGGTGCAGCTGCAAAGTGAGCTGTTCGTGCTCACGAGGTCATACTGCACGTTGTGAGGCCGGCGGCCTTCGCCGCAAGGTACCGTGCCCTCAGCCAAAGCCTTCGTTGCGCCGATCGCCCAGAACACCTAAAGCCAGCCAAAGGGAAAAAGAAACCGCCACAGTCTGCCAAGCAGCGTCGTAAAGCAAGTAAATTAGGAACCAACAGGTTTTGGGTTTCGGGTTTGAGAGTCTAGGGCACGTCCATGCTAGTCCACCGAGCAAAGCTGCTGTCACGACGCGACCGTGCAGAGTGGCGTAAATGTGCAAAGCATAGCCTAAACTAGGGCCTAAACCAACAAGAAATGCCACAGATCCTTGCAGCGAAGGCCGCGACTGCAACATGGCCTCCTATTCTAACAGTACAGTCTCGCAACAATACAGAGGTTGGAGTTGTTGCCAGTTCAGACGTAAAAAGAGGTGGTTCTGAGCGCACGTGCTTTCGACGTTGTTTCGGTGTCATGGCTCGCGTCCTTTTGCTTGTGTTGCTTGCTGCTCTTTCACATTGGACGTGTGCTGGCCCGGCATCCGACGCAGAGGTGCGCTGCCAATTGATTTCAGAAGGCATAGGAGAGCAAGCGCATATGTGTTCTTGCAGGGGCCGGGGCGGACCAATGATGACATGGATGGTTTCAACATGAGCGTATTGGCCTTCGTTCTGGAGGAGGAGCTGGGCGGTGGTACTGGGAGTAACATGAGCATCCCAGCAGAACAAAGCAGCTCCTCACAAGGATGCACCTCATCCACACCCCACCCAGAGCTCATACAACAACTCCTGCAGCAAGTCAACCACCAGCATCAGATTCACATGGAGCAGCTTGCCGTTCAACATCAGCAACATATTCAGCAGCTAACCCAGATGCACCAGCAGCAGCTTCATGCGCTGCAACAGCAGCACCAACAACATCTGCAAGCGTTGCAAGTGCAGCACCACCATGAAGTCACCCAGCTGGTGGCAGACATGCAACAACAGCATCAACAACATCTGCAAGCGCTCCTGGCGTGGTGGGGCTACTGGTAG